GACGTTTCGTCATTCGACAAATGACTGCTTGAGACAGACTATTACATTTACACACTACAAATTTTGTCCCTAATATCAATGTTATTACTTGAAAAAACTTGATGAACTCGCCGGTTTTTACCGGTCTAGTATTTCCAGACCGGTTACAACTCTGATACGTCCTGAAAACTGAGTTTTTTAACACCATAAGTAAGAGAATACCCTAGACAAAATTCTACGCACTTTCTGTCTATGTCCTACTAGGATCTTACAGGATCCTAACATCTAGTATCCACCTAATAATGCCCTAACAGGATTCTAAAATGCTAGGATCCTACCAAAATTTTGCTTAAGTTTATTCAGGATCCTAACGGAATCTTAGAAAATCTAATGACTTTCAGGTATACCTGATTTCATTAGAATCCTGTAGGATTTTGTTCGGATCCTAAAAAATTAAAGCGAAATCCTAGTAGGATACTGGTAAGATATATCTCGGATCCCGTCAGGAAACTCATAGGACTTTTATTAGGGTACAGAGCATATTGTTTCATACAAATTAGTCAAAATCTGCATTCACTATCTCCGTTCATTCTCGAGAAATTCAAATAAATAACCATGGCCACCGGGTTATTTTCACGATAGTAAATTTCTACAATATTTCTGAATATTTTAGTTACATCATTTTCCTGCTGATGTTCAGGAATTATCAATCTCAATAACAACAACGAAAACACTTAGTGATATCAAATTTGTGCGAAATGAATATAAACCATCTGGAGTTAATCGAGCTGTGTTCACAGATCAACAACAGTGGTATCTTTATGAACATGTAGAAATGGAAATTACCGAACAAACAGAAGAATTTTCAGATGTTGAACAAGCACACCCTGTCATTGTAGTGTCCTGTCATGCTGGAAGGTAAGCTTTATGTTATTATATCATCAGCAATTAACTGTCTATTTTCTTAGGAAAAGCGGTTACTTTTTTTGGAACGCATATTTTCTAATATTCTTGATAACATCGGCTTCTCTGTGCACCTTTGCCATTCCACTGTCCAACACTCATGGACGATTACAGATTGCGTGTACGTTGCTTCTCACATCGGTGACATTCAGATGGGTTGTAAATAAATCACTGGTGAGTAATTTGCTTTAAAATTTTATATATTATTATTTTCTCTATTCATTTAGCCGACTATCTCATATTTGACAGCATTAGATATTTATGCCATTGGTTCAATTGTAGCATTGTGTGTACTAAATATTTATCATGGTGTCATTGGCTATCTTTATAATATTGAGTTATATCCTGCAGTTCCGTCCATGACAAACGTTGTATCCACTGCTCCACAATATGTACTGATTTTAATCGATCGTTATGCGTTCGGAATTTGTACTGGCTCATTTTTCTTTTATCAATGTATTATACTTGTTTATACATTATCACCATCGTATTGGAGGAGACAACAAATGGAAAAAAGAGACAAAGAAAATCGTATCGAACTAACAACAAAATTCAAAAATGCGGCTCGAACGTTTATTGATGTAAAAAAAAATTGATTCATCTAGATTGCGTAAAGCGGTTTTAGACATATAGCTATACTGAGACTCTCTATACATCCTATGTCTTCGATATGACCGTTTTATAATCTTTAGTTCAAGAAAAAAGCAGATTTCTGTGATTAAATTATCATATGGGATCAGAAAAGTATCACTTAAAAAGTCTGTGAAGGCCACCGTGCCTTTTTTATTCAGTTTCGTCGAACAAAAGACACATGAATTTGCTAAGTGTTTCATTTTTATTAATGGAAATTTTCAAAGCTTTTGATCGAGATATCAATTCAACAGCATTCTGTCCACAGGCATGCATTTTTAATCGATGCCAATATTCATTTGCAACAGAATATCGAAATCGTTTATAACTTAGATCTAGTTAAATTGTTTTGGTCTCCACAATGTTTGTATACTACTATTAAAACAAGATCTAGGTAGATCCACTCCTGTCTCTCTGTTAGTTATACTTGTTTACTGAGGCAGTGCTGTTGTAGAAGTTAGTAGAATAGATAATTGCTGAATTTAAAAGTATAGACGATTTATATTCACTTAAGGATTAATATAAATAAATATAAGTGGACACATAACAATAATTATTGCATCAAGATATCTCCCTTATTGACCTTTATTATAACTAAACAACCATAAATGATTTACATTAGATTACACAAATACACATAGCATTCAATTACACACTAGATACTGTACAAATTACGCAGAATAGGTTTATTCAAGAATGAGTCACTTATGCCATAAATACAGATGTATCAGAAACAATTTTAATTATCGTTTGTGCGCCCATGATTCATATTATAAATAGAACAATGGTATCTTCAAATAAAATCAGCGTTTCCAAAATATCTAGCTAACTATAGCTCACCTAAATATTCAGTCACAGAAAGGGATCATCTACATAATATTGCAAGCATAAAGTCTGCAGGAACCATATTGATCAGAATAAGCATTGATAAAGAAGTGTCCCGGACAAAGTTATGCGCTTCTTAAAGTGGAGCGTTTTTAAAAGATCGGTTTTACTAAAGTTTAGCCAAGCTCGAACTATAGCTGCGAGACAGGGTAATAAAAACATCAATATAAATATTTGGATTTAAATCAAAATGTACACGTCGGCAACACTGATATAGTTTCCTTTTATCATTTTGACTAGCAGGCAAAACTGCACAAAATGACTTTTAAGTGTTTCAAGTTTTTTAATAATACATTTTTATTGACCATTTTGAGCTCAAAAATACTAAAGTAGGCTTTGTTTAATTGTGAACAATACATTTGAAATTAATAATAATTTACGGGAAATGGTAAATTAGACGCTTAAAGTACCTAGTAATGAAAATAATTTGTTTGGCTACTTCCTTCCTTGCTTCTAAAATTTTCTAAAAAATTAATTTCTTTAATATTCATGAAAGTCCACATTGACTGTGGCACACTTTATCAAATCACTCACATTTCACATTGGTTATGATGCCCTCTACCCATTGGATCGCTACCACCTTGATGAGGTGACACTGAGGGACTTCTATAGACCGTGGCGCCACCTATCCCTTTTCTAAGTTTCATATCCATTGCGGCACCCTCTAGCATAAAAGCGTGGAATTAGTGTATACATATTTCTGTGATTGCGTATCATCTGACAGAGTATATTGTTCGTTAAACAGAGACAATCGTTCAAAACTATCCAACATATCTAGTACATGTACACCATTGACCGTTGGCGGTGGTATTTGCATCATTGATACCAGTTTGTTGGTAAGTAACCCTGTTGGACATTACGATACACATTTAATAAGATATTAGAATGTTACTTAAATTGAACGTATATATATACAGGATGCCGTATTTATTGTTTCAGCAAAAACTTTATTAATGATTTAAATAACAAAATTCAAAAGTCGTTCTACACGTTGGTGCTGATCAATGCTGTCACTCATCCTTACCAAAAAAATATAACAAAAATGAAGTACATTGCAATTGTGCTATGCACTAGTTGCGGTGTCGACAGAATCTGCCAGAACCTGCATGTGCGCGGGCTCTTACAGAATCAAAAAGATTTTCACAAGACTGGTTTAACTGCAATCGCACAATGGGTAATTTTGGCTAAAGCAGGCGGACGTGTGCTATTAATTCAATAATAACTTTTGATAAAAAAAGAGCTAGAGAGCTCCGGTTCTCGCCACTTGAAAGAGGAGACTTGGAGGCATGTTTTCATAACCAAAATTGTTTGCAGAAGAGTTTTCTGAAACAGGTTTTTAGGACATCTTTGGAAATGTAGGCCGTCTGTAAAAATTTTCCAATAGGATTGTATTACTTTCTTTTCATGACCTGATAGTCCGGGGTGTTCTCTTCAAAATGGGAGTGAAGTGAGACCTTGATTATCCACGGTTTGGGCGTTGTATGGGATTTCCTACGAGTCCCAGGACTGACGCCCCGTGACTATTGGTAGCCTTGAAGACGGATGAAATCGAGCATGCTGAGTCTCGAGGCAGCATTTGTCTTTAGAAAAAATTTTAAAAATCTACCGAAAAGCCAGTTTTATGTGAGAAATTTTGAACTCGTTCTGATGTTTATTGAGTGATAGGTGAATTTTTTAATATTAGGTGAAAACTGCCTGAAAACGCAAATTTTGGTAGAACTCTCTTTTCGGTAGATTTATTTTAGTTTTTTTTCTAAAATAGTGCCACCAGGCTCAGCATGATCGATTGCCTATAGTTCATCCGTTTTCAAGGCCAGCAATAATCACCCAGTGTCAGTCCAGGAACTCCCAAGACCATGGCTTTTTGGAACACCTCCAGCACAATGCATAATCACTGGCGCTAATTGGCGCGATAGTCAATGGTAGAGCACACATAGAGGAATATTTGGCAAAAGGTTGAGCTCAATTGGCTTTAGCTATCTGTGGCGTTTACAAAATGTGGAATGATGAATTTCCCGAAACATTTTTATGATAGAAAATTTAAGAGCGTTTTCTGGAAAAATCAATGTTATATATGGTTCGATGCAGCTCGACAAGCTAATTCTGAATATCACGTTGGTTTTGGGCTAAAATGTTATATTAGTCGCAAAAAAGACATTTGGCGTCAAAAACCATGGTTCATTGGAAAATCTCCAGCACAATCCAGAATTACTGGCGCTAATTGGTGCTATGGCTAATGGTAGACACACACAGAGGAATATTTGGTGAAATGTTGAGCTCTATTGGACTTTAGCTGTTTGTAGCGTTTACAAAATACAGAATGATGCATTTTTGATAGTCAATTTTAGCCTAGTAGATTGTTTTGCTGTAGCAATTTGAGTTCAGTCGAAATGATCTTTCCATTAAAATGGAGCTCTTAGATGAATAATTCTTTTCAGATAATTTTTCAAATTAAACTATTCCAGTGAGTTGGTCAAAAAATTAACTCTATCTGAGGATAGCGATCTTTGAACAAATTTCTTAGTATGTGTTTTTCCAACGTTCAACTTAATGTCTGAAAATGCTGTTTCAGGACAAGATAGATCAAAGACAGAAGTAATTATTCCAGTGTTTAAACTTAGAAAAATAACACTTTCATTTTATGTCCGCCTGGTTGCCCACTGTGAGTCGTTATTTCAGTTGTTAAACAGCGAGAAAAAGTATAGCCATGGATTGAACAGGGGGAAAAGGTAACAGAAAATAGAGAGAAAGTCTTGTTTTCAAATAATCAAAAATTAGACTTGTTAGGCGCAGATAAATAAACTGAACAAAGAGATAATTACGAAATAAACTTTTGGTAACCACATAGTAACATTAAAATTAATAATAATTTCTGACAGTCTTTTTTTTTCGAAACAAATGGCGCCGGAGATCAAATATATGAAACATTTCTAAGTTTTTGACATATTTTTCTCCCACTTCTGGACCATATGGGGCTGAAGCCAGACCGTTTTCGACAAAAGAACATTCAGTGATCAATCTCCAGTTTTCAGAAATTCTCTGCGAAGCGTAGTTCTCTAGATCAGCGAGTTCACATTTCGCAAAAAAAAATGACTATGCCAAAAAATAACTAGATTGCAATTGCGCTGCGCACAAGTTGCGATGTCGACAGACTTTGTCTCTGACTGAATCTACTGCTCCGAGCCGATCATATCAGTAGGCCCTGAGCATTGTATTTTTGCTTTGATTTACTCTTTGAAGTGCTTATGAGATAAAAGAACAATGAAGGAAATTTGAAAAAGAGAGACTCTGACTAAAAAAATAACAATAATAATTTAAGCCCAACAGCCATTTTTTGCCCACTAATGGAGCTTATACCGGCGAGTTTTTGGATCTTTTATTGAGTAAAGAACGTGAATGGTCAATTTTCAGTTTCTGTAGAACACCTTTTTTAAAACTTCTCTAGAATGAGTAGCTTGTTGGATTATGGCGTTCTCTTTTCGCAAAAAAGGGTCGTAAAGAAAAAAGAAAAAAGAAAATTCCCAGCATAAATGCTAAATGTCTGGCGACAAAAAACATTTCCATTGTTGATGAACTACTAGTAAGAAAAAAAATATAGTTTAAGATTAAAATTGTACTATCAACTAAACTTTCTACGTTATTCTTTTACAGCAGAAACTATTTTATCAAAGTATAATAGTGAAAAGGATGAATTATAATCTTAGAGTACGATGAGACTAAGTATAAAAAAATTTTGATTTAATCCGGTTATATCACATATATGTATATTAATATAACGCGAAAGACTTATGCAATTATTAATTGGATATTCTTTAAAAAAAAGAAAATTGAAACAGATCAATTACATCAAAAATGAAAAAGAAACGATAGAAAAAACTAATTTTATAAGTAAAAATGTTTAAGTATGTGTTGTATTTCGTCAATGGGTAGAACAAAGAATCGATATTAGATAAAAAAAGTAGAGACAAAAAATTTTTATGTATAAAATCGATGAATATTCGTGTGAAAATGATGACAATGAAGTAGATGTGCGTAGTTGCGTTTGATTACTAAAATTTTTTCTAGGAAAAAATTATTTAGCCACATATTCAACATGCATATTCAAATACACCATCCTAAAACGAAATAAAACGAATAATTCGATTTTAAAACTTGGTGTATGTTCATTTACCAATAAATGATGTTGAAAATAATAAATGCTCCAGGGAAAATAACGGATGACACTAAATCAACCTAGTTAAAAAAAGACAACAATAACAGCACGATTATACATGATTAATAAAGAATTGGTATTACAAATTGTGCACTGTCTCGGACTGGCTTTGCAGCCTTTGAAATAGGTGGTGCTTGAGGAATAACAATTTGAGCTTGCACAGGTGGCACGGAATTTGCTAATGATGGTGATGAGGGTGATACTGACGAATATTGGCCACCACTGACAGCATTACCACCTCCACCACCTCCATTATTGTTTCGTTTAGTCACTAATGTTTCCATCGTATCAGCGCTACCAATGGCTTCTTTTTGACGATAAAAATGAACATGAGCGAGACGATTTCCGATGACCTAAAAATGAAAAATAATCATGAAATGTAGAACCATAATTTCAAAAAAAAGTAACATATAGACAAAAAAAATTAACAATCCACACAGTTGTTTCAATTAAAGCATGACAGATGAACTGCTGAGCCTAACTAAAAAATTAGCTGATTGCCAATTAGTAGTCATGCTATATTTCTATTTTTTAAAGTTGAATCAGAGAGAAGCGTACCACCTTTCTAAAATGTTTCTATTTTTTATTGCCTCAATGAGAGCACGTGTTAGTTTTATGTTTGACATATTTTCATCATTCAACAGCGGTTGGAAGAATAAACACAATATACAAACGTATAACGAAAGCAAGAAAAGGTACAACAACAACAACAATAAAACATCGAAAGTAATCAAAAATATAGCCTAAAAGATTGAAACAGAGATGGTGGATATGCACTGTGAGACTAAGGGTTATTCTAGAAATACTAGCTAACATCACTCTTGCCCAAGAAGAAAAATTGTACTCGGATTCATGAAAATTTTATAGAAGACTATTGTTGATTTTTTAATAAAAAATACGATATTCAGGATAGAGATCGTATGGTTTTTGGAAATCATAGTAGAAATAAAATAATAAGTGCTAAAAAGTGATATGTGCTTGACCAATAATGAAAAAGAAGAAGAGGACATCGATCCATCTAATATGTGCTACGTGTTTTACTCTCTCAGCAGCAAAATTTCCATTTTGTAATTTTTGTATAAGAGTTAATTTTGGGCCTTGTTGTCCTTTGTGCTGAAAATAAAGTTGACAGAGAGAATCTTGTTGTTATTATTTTTGGTTTTTTTCTGATTTTTTTTTTGAAATCGATAACAACAATTGAAATGAAATAGATGTTTGCGGAATAGAAGCGACGGGTAAAACACCTACCTCCTTCGAAAATCGTACTTGTTGCTTTAGTTCGCCTTTTCGAGCAATCACGTTGACAAGAGCATATTCTAATAAACCAGCAAATACAAAAACGAGACAAGCACTCATCCAAACATCAATTGCTTTGATATATGATACACGTGGAAGTTGTGACCGGATACCTGAAACAAAATGATAGATGAGTTGATATGTCAAGAAGTTGACTGACATTTACGTCATAGTAATGTATTCTAACAACAACAAAATAATTAAAGTGAAAGACAAGATAAGAAAAGGATTCTGTTTAAAGAAAAGAAAACATATCTGCACTGCATGATAAGCTATACTCCATAACACCGAAAGCTAAAACTAAGGAAACAGATAGATGTGTTGTGTTGTATTGTATTGATGTTATAAGAATCTGATATTTAGTTTCCAATGGTTTCTTAAACAAGATACAACAACATTTTGTACCTACCCGAACTTTGAGTAGTTACTGTCAAAACAGTAAGAAGACCAACTGAAATTCGAGCTGGTACCTTTGAGACAATAATTAAACAATATTAGAATAATTTTTTTTTGACCAATAAAACTATAAACATACCGACTTATGATCAATCCAAAATGAAACAAATGATAGAATAACAATAAGCATACTGGGTATGTATACTTGAACTAAACATAAAATATTTTAAAATAAGAGTTTTAATAGCAATAATGACTAAACTCACCTAAATAATATCCAAATAGTCGTTTCAAATGTAAAACAACAAGTAAACATGTAAAATTGCCTAGAAAAATGGAAGAAAGTTCATTAAATCCACTGATCTTTCATTATGTTAACTATTTTCAAAACTTCTTCATTTGTTGATATCTCAGTTCATCTATTACCGAATACTTAAATATTACCGATACTTAAAAATGTATAATGAATGAATTAAAAATTCTGCAAAAAATAATTTTTGTGGGACAAATTAAAAGTTATGACATAATTTATTTTTAAATAAATTGTATGCAGTTTGTTTTATTAAGGATAAAAATCACAAAACGGTCAAAATAACCGCTACGGGTGTTCTAGTGTAAAATAAAAACTATCTTATGATAGACAATAAATTATAGACAATATAATTATTTCCGTATTTGTTAATGTTATTCATATCAAATAAGAACAACGTGTAACTTATTCAGTAAGAATAACAAACATTGAAGAGAGTTTTTAAAATAAAAATTCACAAATTAAATCTAATTTTTGCACTTAGCAAACAATTGTTTTATTTTCCACTGAATAAAATAGCCGCATTACTAAAGGCATTGACCGTCATTGACAACGTTTATCAAGCTTGCATGAATTAAGTCATCCGCAAAGCCTATTTGTCATATTATCGTAATAATTATGTCAAATTTCTTTTATACATAAGATAAAAACCTACATTATGCTGATTTTTTTTCAAATTTTTCTTAATGAATTAATGTATTTATATATATAATAAATTTCTTATTTTGACTATAGAAAAGAAAAATAGAAATAACACTATATTGCACTCCATAAAGTAATCTCTCATTCTCACTAAAGTAGCAAAGATAAAAAAAAAGATTAAATATCTAATAAAACAGTAGAGATGTAAAATTCAAACGAGAAACTTATTTTTGAAAAATCTTTCGATAAATAGGGTCCTTTATTGTCTAATATGTTATTAGTAGTTGTAACAACACTCAAAACGTCGTAAATACACACACACACACACATACACTTGTCATATCTATGCTATACTCTGTTTATCTTTATGTATTTATTTATTATTCTAAAGAAAGATCAATGAACACCATAGATACATCATTTAGTATCTAATCTATAGTTTATATGTAATAAAAAATGATTTTCAAAGAACCCATTCACCTTTTATATATCGAAAAAAAAAATCATTAACATCTGTTACATGCTCGATTATGAAAACCAACGGCAAAGCAATGAGAATATAACTAGAATAATGTCTAAGAATATCTTTTTATAGTATCTGTTGACATTGGTGTTACTATAACAATACTCAATAATGATAGTAACGTTTATGCTTAAGTACTTTTATAATTAATCTAAATTATATGATAAAGTCATTATTATTAATGTACTTGGTAAAAATATTTGTTATAAACATAAATTAATAATTCATTGTACTACGCTAAATGAATTTTTATGAGATATTTTCCTATGAAATGAGATGCGAAAAAATGAAGACGTTTTATGTAAACCTTAATGTTTAGATATTATTCATTTATATACATGTATAATGTCAATCAGTCACATACCAGTTGCAGTTGTCCTGTTACAATATCTTGCTTCATGATTTGATAATACAAAATCAGGCATTTCTAAATCTTCATTAACTCTAATAGCACTAACATTTCCACTTTCTTCCCAGAAAAAGGCCAAGTCTGTCGTACCAAATCCATCTAATTAATACAAAATCAGTTGTAAAAATAATAGTACTTTTTTTGAATACTTAAGAAAAAAATTTGTTATTAAAAATCACAATAGATTTACAAACATCTTCTATTGAATAAACTCCTTAATGAGAAGATTTATGTGACAAATCCACAACTTACAACTGCCAATGTTAACGACACATGTTTGATTATCTAATGGAAATTTTTGTAATTTCATTTGACAATCGAGTTTTAAGAGCAGCCTACAATTGTTGTAAAATATAAGAGATGAATGATATACTTGTCAGTTTTCGCTCTAATACCTCTGACTATATAAGACTTTACCATCTTTGTGTACACGAATAAGACGATTGGGCACTGTTATATCACTTCGTTTGCCTTCTTTAGCATTTCGAAAAAATGAATCTGGTACCCATATACGATCAATTAAACTGTAATGTAATGTTATTTGTGGACTCTTCGTTGCCCAATCAGTTCCAGAAAAATTTAAACGTGGATCATACCAACTTTGGCGGAATATCAAATCAGTATTGTAATCCTAAATAATAATAATAATAATTGACGAACAAATTGACAAATTTTGTCTAACGATAAAACTCTCAATTATTCATATAAATACATACCATATTAACTTCATTAATTGCGGAAATTGTATTAATATGAATTGTCATTGTAACATTACAGGCTTCTTTAAAAAATCAAAAAAATCAAAATTCAATGATATTATTTATTCATTTAATTCAGTAATAAAAAGTAGTTCGCTTTGAAAACTATCCTAAGTTTGTATAACAATAATTTGTGCTAGGAGCAAAAAAAAAATGAGCGATTTATTTGAAAATAACATCAAAAGTAACATAGTCAAATGTAAACGGATGTCTATGTTTCTCAGCCGTCATAATCAAATTTTTTGTTGTTTTTTTTTATATTAGAAATAGGTTCGAAGAGCTAACTTTGTTATCTAGTTTGACTTGGAGCATACAATTCTTTTGTGACACTTAAACAAATGACATAGACAAAAATTAGCAGAGTTCAACGGGGATAGATAAAAGTAGGCACATGTTTACTAAACATAGTTGTCTAAATTTAGTAAAGAAGAGATTAACTTTTGACGTAGCATCAGTATCGTTTATGAGTTTAAAGAACGATATATACACTTACTAGTTGTTGCCTATAGTTTTTATCATTACTTTAGAGTTATCTTGTCACTAATAGTTGAATGACTGCTAGACAATTTTTGATGATGACCTTAGTAATAAAGTTTTTAAGCGATATTACTTACTTTGTTGATCAAAAAATGGTCGAATTCTTCTGTCATATCTTGATGAATTGATCAATGTGTCAAGAAAATCTTCTACGGTATTAATTTTTGAATCATTTCTTAATGGATGGACACTAGAAACAAGTATGATAGTTGTTGTCAGATAATGAAAATAATAATTAATCCTCATGGACTTTGAACAAAATAATTATAACAGAAAAATATCGATGATATTTGTATCACAACACAAAACAATGATAGTTTTTATTTTCTTCAAATAGCAAAGCCAAATGTTGGTTTTTGTCTTCTTTTCAAATAGCTATCAAATGATATTATCAGTCATAATATATATGGCAACGTAAAATGTTTATGTTGCCAGTCATACGGTAGATAATCATCAATCATCAACAAGTAATTGTGTTTATTTGAAATAAAAAATAAAAAAGTCAAGTTGATGTTTGTTTTTTCCCTGTTTTATTTTTGAGGAACAACTCTAATTTGTTCCGGTGTTAAAATAATTCATGCCGTTATGACATTACATAAAAATAAATAATTATGCGATCACTAATATTGGTATTAAACAGATAATAATAATAATAATAAGCGATACTTCTAGTTTGGTCTATTTTTTTTTTCTTACTCTGAGATAAGAAGAAAAAAAAAAGAAGAAAATGAAAGAAGAACGACGCAACGGAAGAAAATATTAATGGTAGTAATATTCATTCCGTGAAAGAAAATTTACTATAAAATTAAATAGAAAATCTTTCATATATGCGTTGATGATATATATGTAGTTAGATATAAGTACTGCTATTACAGCCGTCATTCCAGTGATATTAACATGGAAACTAAGTATTATAGGGTCTATTACACCTGTTATATGATATGAGGCGTCTGTATGCAATTGTACTGTAAAAATAAACATTCATATTGATATTTATTTTTTGACGCTTAATTAAAATGTATTTGAATAATGACAGTTACTTTCAACACAATTAGTGTGTAGTAGTGTATTATAGACTATGAATATCATTCAGCAACAAGGACGCTTACAGTTATTCTTTTTCTCTTGATAAAAATCTTAGATAGATACTACAGTTTTGTTAAAACAATAATTAGTAGTATGATGAAGATTTTCAAAAATATTTTAGAGATCATTTGACAATCAACATAAAATTTATTAAGTTGTTTGCTGAGAAAATTATGACTATTAAAAAATAAGTATTGATATAGAAAAAGTAAATATTCTTCCATAGACACTTCTAGTTTTATACGTGTCAGACATTCAATTTCAGACGACATACGTCAATCAATCACAATCAATCACAATAATTTGACATGAAAGACGATATGTTGTTTTGTTATTTAATCAACAACTATAGTCTTTGTCCTATCTGCTCATTTATGCCCTTGTCGAAGTATTTAATATTGTAGTAACCGTCTCTTATTTTTTTTCGAAGATTGACAGAGTTAGACATACAAACAGAGACATGTTTTTGAATTCATATGAAAATCATTAGACATGTAGAAATGACAATGTTAAATATATTTATTTTCTAGTGTTTACATATGTTGGTTTTTATTGATCATTATTCATAAAAAGGTTGCAATGATCCCTGAAGCAATAGTCTTCTATTCAAAAGAATTATTTCGAAATAAATATAATTTGTTTATGTTGTATAAAGAAAAAAAAAAAAAGACTGAAAATATTGTTGTCTTATACGAACATATTATGTACAATCGGGCAATAATAAAAAAGGACAAACAAAATTAAGTCATTTATTAGATCAAATTCTCATTGAATTATGAAAGTTAGTTTAACTAAAGAATTTTACGACAAAAAACATCAAATATTTTGACAAACAAATGTTAAGTGATTGTGCATATTTGAATTAACTACATGATTATGATTATAACAAAAATAGATAACGAAAAACGATGATATATTGCGTAAAAACAGTTAAAAATAGATGAACACTTGTGCTATTTTTATTGCATATTTTCACTTCTAGCTTGTAATAAATGTATAATATTGATCTATTTTGGATTTTGATAAAACTATTGAGAAGTATATATCTAATAATGAGTATCTCACCGAAATACAAGTCAGAAAAGTGATTATAATTCTTCTAGTCGAATAATTCAAAGTTATGTTTAAAAAATACATGTTATTTTTGACTCATTTTCTGCATGTCTAATTTTTATTACGGTTCACAATTTTCATTACATAATAAATGAAATTGACAAACTATTTATTTATGAAAAAAGTCTAAAACTTAATCTAAATTTAAATTTTTTATCTCAAATTTTGTAAATTGAACTGTTCTAGTGATGGATAGCAAAAAATTTTTGTAGAAAAATTTAAATTGTCAAATTAATTTATTTCTCTTAAGTTATATGACTTGAATCACTCTCAAAATAAGAAACAATGACTCGCTCTCTATGATACCACAGATCAAGGATAAAACAGTTCTCAAAAACAATAACTGATAACATTTTTCTTTTTTAAAAAACTTTTTTTTACCATGACATCAGTACATAATTAGAGTTACACAAACCAACGATTCTTTATTATTACATATCAATAGTTCCTGTTGTTTTTTCACTTCCTTTTCCTGGTTTTCTTTTGAATTTGATTAGTATAAGAACATTATGAGGTCAAAAGAACGTACTAATAGTAACATCATTAGCCTTGTCGGAGGAAGTTTTAAAACATGTGTATATAATAATTAAACTATTATAAATTCAATGATCCCTTTCTTTTTTTCTGTATATTCCAATTAAAAGTTAAATCGAGATCTTGCTTATTTTTAACTGAAACACGACATCTTCAAACGTCTACATATTTACAGTATTAAGAGAGAAACAAGTATACAAAGTCATATAGGAACTTTTTAGGACTAAATACTGCTTTATTTTTACCTTCAACAGTATTAATAAGAAACGATTCAATAACTATAAATGATTTGGTTCAGACATATTTCTATATATTTCTCTATCTTCTGCTTTGAGAATTGATATTTAATCATTTTTTTTTTCCCCACAAATCTAACCTAGTTTTTATTGTTGAGAATGTGTTTGTTTCAACAAATGTAAGAAAAAGTTTGAGTGACAAATAAAAATCATTGAACAGTAATGCCTTTGTCATTGTAACAATTGATTTGAGCGAAGCACTCGCTATTGATAAGAAGCCAGTTTTGTTAATTCTTTTATTAAACCAAAGACAATATTTTTTTGAAAAGAAACTTTTTAGTTCATTGAGTTTGATTTACTTAAACAGCTTTCTTATCCTCATCATTAAAATTGACATGACAAGACAAGTTTCCTTTCTAATATACATATAAAAATTAAAAACAGCCTGCTGGAAACTTATAAAACTCAGAACAAATCTTCTACGCTACACTTCTTTTTTTTTCTATAAGATATATAAAATTATACTTTACTAGTATGTGTATACTATAGACAGTAGATGGAGTTCTTTCTTCTTCTTCTACTTCTTCTCATTTTCACAAATTATTCTAACTTAAACACAACTTATTAAAGAAAAAGTAGTGTTACTTACTTCCGTTCTCTCTCTCTCTCTCTCTCTCTCTCGTCTCCTCTTTTATATCTGTATAGTAGTTTTTTCATACGTAAATATTAACGATTTGATTTGCATTTTATCATTAATGTGAAAAGAACGCTATGAGAACCTCTTGGTCATGAAATTAATTAAACAAAGTTAAACTAGGTCACGGGTGTTATATATCGAAAAAATAATAAACTCTGTGATTTCTGTTTTGCCTATTCCAGTTTATCAAGAAAAGGATGTTTAATCAAGTAACAAAACGAATTTTTTCTTCAATACTGAAATATACAATCTCGAATATTCAAAGAATGAGACACAGTATCTGTATATCTATCGGAAAAATTGTATGTCTACATTTTAATAGTCTTTACGAGATTTCTACATACACCTTGAAGAAACATAGAATTACCAATGGTTTTTAAACCTACTATGACAATATGATGAAGATTTTCTTAAGAATAAAGATTGATTATTTTGCAATCAATAAAAAAAAATTTTCCTCTTTTAAAATAAGAAAATACGTATATTTTTATTCAAGAATCTTATACGAAATAGCTTCTTTTCTTTGTAATGTAATAGATTTTAAAACACTTTTAGATAAACAAACGATTGTTTATTTCATCGTCTTTCATAAAAACATCGTCTGATAAACTTGAACAAATATTAACTATACATTCGATTTTATAAAAATGAATATAAAAATTTTACATTTTTAAATGTTTTTCTTTCTACTCACCAATCATTATTTGTACATTCAACTGTTTTATTTGATTGATCACTGTATGAAAGTGTTATTATTAACAGAAGAATAGAATACAGAATGAACATGGATCATTGCAATACTAAATTGTTTTCTTGAAAATATTATGTGAACACCATCAGCACCAAATAGGATATACTAATCTATCTATTTCTTTAATAATAATTGATTATGGAGCTTGAACAAAAATATTTGTTGAGTTAATGTGGATTTGATGTACAAGAGATATTTCCTCTCTTTCTTCTACTTTACATTTTTTTTCCTTTTTCCATCTTCTTCTTCTTCTTCTTCTTCTTCTCCTTCTTCTTCTTCTTCTTTAGTCTATATTATTTACCGTTTTCCATTCATTGAATAGATTTTTTTTAACTTTCATATTCTCAAAATCAATTTGCATCACTATACATATACAATTAATAACTTTCCCTTCTCTTCTTCTTTAGCTCATATTTAAATAGTAGAGAGAAGAAGAAAAAAAAAAATAGCATATAGAGAGTTTTAGTCTCTATATAAAATATAGAGACTATTTATGTAATGAATAGAAATGAATGAGAGAAAAGTTTCTCGTTTGTTCCAAAAAAAATTACGTATAGCTCATACTCTATACCGAAATACAACAGGCATTTATTTCATTATATATCCTACGGGCAAACTTATGTATACTATTATACTCTCACTTTTCTCCGTCATTTTCGAAAGATTTTTCATAATAAAAAAAGAAAATAGAAAAAATCAGTCACTTACAGATACATCCATCATAGATTTCAAAAAAAAAAAAAAAAATTCTAGCAACAAAAAACGGCTTTTAGATAAATGAAAAAGAAGAAAAAGAGAACAATATAAAGCCCACGTTTCAGACTGCTGTTTCTTTTTCACTCTATTATCCTTCTATAATTTGAGATTCAGTCATAAAGTACAATTTCTTATCTTCATAAACAGAATGATATCGAAATCTAAATGCTAAAATATTTGAATCATTTCATTAGTCGACATATAAAGAAGAGTATAAATTGAACATCTTACATTTTCGTTCATGTAAGACTAAATTCAGTATCGGAAGGTGATAGGTTTGTTTAACAATTCCTAGAAAAATTCTCATTTTGTTTTTGTTTTTCCACTAATCTAAAGTTTGTTAGGAAATGTTCATCGAATTTGATTCGATTTGATAAATATAAATAATATCATAGTAAATGTTTTGAGGATTATATTGATCCAATGAAGTAAAGTTTTCAATTTTTTAAGCTTGTTTATTCGATCCTCATTGACTTGTGTTATAATACAAGAAAAAATATGAAAATTAATTTAACGATTTACTCTGTATGTGTTATTATTATTATGTAAAGTATGTGTTATCATAACAAAGAAAGGAAGCTTACTATTCGATAGAGAGAAAGAGAAGAATATTAAGATGTGTGTTTTTCTTAAAGAAAATTGTTTAATTCTCACAGGGAAGGACAAAAGAGTTCTCATTTTTCTTTTTTTGTTGAAGAGGGGGGATTCTCTACAATATGACAACAATATGGATGGAAAGATACGACGATTATAACGATAGAGATAAAACGGAAAAGAAAATGAATCCTATATTAAAATATTTTTGTCTGTAAATATAGAGAAAATCATTTTTTGATTGACTTTCAGTTTTATTATAATAATATCTTTCTATTGTTAATTATTTATAATTTACAGTATTTTATGAAGGTGTAAGAGATATCAATTGTACACATAATTGTATTCAATATAGATCCCATATGAATTAGATGGTGAAGATTAACAAAAAAAATCAACAATAGTTGAATCTTAAAATTTTTCTCTCTTAAAAAAATCAGATTGAGATAGAGAAAAATAATAAATTTTGTTTTCCGCTAGTGAAATGAGCTATTGAATGATAAATCAATTCAAGGTTTCCTTTAAATATAATATATAATAAACGTTGATTATTGCTCAGTTATTTCAACAACAACAAAAAAAAAATCAAATCAACTACTTTTCAATATAGTATGACTTAGCCTTAGTACAACTTAGTAGTCTCTCAATATAGTACGACTTAGCATAGAGCAAAATCTTTTTTTCAAAATTTACGAATACGAATGTTTAATAGTAAGTATATCACGAACCTTAGCGAACATAATTATGGACTTTAATATTGTATGGCCTATAGTAAGTAATATTTATGTAAAATTCAGAAGAAAAGTTTCAAACTCCAATTAAATTACAACAATATATTTTAATATTTAATTAATGTTTAACTTTTCTTGTATAAAATACTATTTAGGACATATATTTGTACTATTACCTCTTGATAAAATAAGAAAAATGTTCGACACACGCACATTTTTTCTTACCTATTCTATTATGACAGCAATATTTCTAAAAACAAATAATCTTAAACCTTCTTGCCTTTTTGTTGCATGTCTGTTTGTCAATTTATTATCATTATCTTCAAAATCTTAATTAGGTGAACAACGTTTTTTTATATCAAAATTCTTTAATATTCTTCGCAAATTTTACTAATTATTACAGAAGATCTATATCATCGGAATTATGGTAATAAAAATAAATTGCATGTCAAATCACTAAGATTCTAAAGTAAACGTCAACAAAAAAAAATATATATATATTTGAACGTTGCAATTCAAATGGAATATACACTTTTTAGTTTGATGTAGAAATTTCAATAAAAAAAAATATTCAATAAGAATGGATAAAAAAAACTTCTAAACTCAATATGACGTTCGAGATAATCTTTGTTAGATATGCTAATTACTCATATGACTTCTCATTTAATTATTTAATTTCTGAGATACATTTATTTTTTCTCACTAAAACACAAATGATGACTATCTACCATTGGAGTAAACATTCACTGCTCATAGTACAATATTTGTGATCAGTTTTGAGATTATGACTTTTTTTTCACTTTTCTGTATTTTATTTTATTTTTTCAGTTAGACTAGGTACAGCTTCTGTAACATTCATAAAAGAAGATCTCCAAATATCAAATTGCTTAGATACAGTCTCTTAATACATAATTTTACTTTTAGGTGAAGAATGTGTTACCTGTTTCGGTTTCGTAGATATTTTTCGAAATATCATATAAAACTACTGATTACAAACTGTAGAATAATTTTAACAATAATAATATACTAGAATATTTCAGTCTATGCAAAAATGTTTCAGTAAGGTCATCTCGATCTTCATTTGAAAAATTTATATTCAAAGAACTCGAGAACATGTAAACTTAATTTTTGACTAAGTTTTCCTCTCTTAGATCGATCTTTAACGGACATCATGTTCATACAATTCTTAATTTTCAAACTTTATATGCATAATACACTTGTTTAGGAGAATGTTTCCTGAAGGTTTTAAATTAAAAGAATGTTTCTCGAGTGAGTTATGAATATTTTTGAATAATTATCCAAACTATATTTCTAGTGAATTGTAAAACCGCTGCAATTTTTCAATCAGTATGAACCATGGATAAGAAGTATCCATCCATATATGGTCTTTATATCTATAGATAGCTGACAGTAATTGATGCATTGAGTAATCATTTGTATTTCAGTCCAAAAAAAAATGAAATTAAAGCATCTCAGGAACTAAACAGCTAAATGAGAAGTAATAGGAGTAATTAGGAGGAGCTAATACGAGCTATATATACACAAAATCTTAAATGACATATGTATTTTGAGATACGATTTAATAGATATATTCATGATGATCACTGTATACTCAATAGTTTTTATATTTAAAAAATTTAGTTATCATTCATGTGATGAATCCATGATATTTCTCTCTAACATGATCTAAAGATAATCTACTCTTATGAAGGAAAAATTGTGATCCGCGCCCTCTAATTTTATAATTTTCTACTTTAGAATTGAGACTTATGATTGAAGATTTATCCTTTTTTTTGCCATTTAGTAGATTAAAATGATAGGAAAAACTGAAATTGGTAATCTTCAATTATAGTCACAGTTTCACTTTAATATAATTAATATGTATTAAAATGGATAAGAAAAAGGAGAGATGATGGATAATCAATGTAAAATTAGAGATAACTTCTCTTTTACTTTTTGATGTACATAATGATCATTATTAAAAATTTTTTTATTCAAACTAATAAATGTTCATAATCATTTTAAAGAAATTCTTTACGATGTTTCATTTCATTTTTTGAAAAAGTAAAGAATTGCGTATTGACTACAAAGAAAAAGAAGATTTTCTTTTTTCATATAGAGAACTCTATGTATGTACAATATACATCAGTTATGAAGAAAACAAAGCTCTATTCTAAAATCTCAAACATCACATTATCTAAGAAAAATGGGATATGCTAAAACATAGCTTTAAATAAAATTATTCTATATATATTTTCATATTTTATCATCAGTATCCTTGAAATTAACTGTGTATATTTGTTTTATTAACCGGATTGGACACTTTTCGCAACTAGTGTTAATATTTTTTTGTCATCATACTAATATATATATATATATTTTTTTGTTTTCTATCAAAAAAGAAAAAAATGTTTCTAATAATATTATTGCACGCCTGTCAATCACATTTCTGTGATATTAGTTTAATTAAAAAAAAAACAAAGATAAACAGACAGAAGAGAGATTTGAAGAAGAGAAGAAAAGAGAGAAAGAAAAAGTGTGAAAAAATTATCTATAAAAAAAAAAAAAATAATAATAATAAAAACATGACAAATACTTATAATAATCATGTAATTTGTTTTTTATTTGTATGACTTTTAGTTGATATTGCATAGCATGTATTTCATTTAAATATTAAATGAATTAAACACTTATTATGATTCTCTAATTGAATAATTTAACAAAAATTAAAATTCTTACCATTCTAATATTTGTTTTTCATTATCATATGGACTATTATTTCTAAAAAAACCTTGATATAAAGGATTATTTGGATGACCATCTTGTAACGTTGTCGTCAATGTTGTTGTTGTAGTTTCTTTTGTTGTTATCATTGAATAGTGGATTAAAATCATTATAATAAATATAAACATTCTATCCCGTCAGGGCTCGTCTATACACCACCTTATCATTATCATCAATTTTCGATTTTATGTTGAGCATATTCTCTCATACACGAAATCTAAATAGAGAAAATAAACCAAATACGTTTTGAATATGATAAAGAGATAGATAGAGATGGGATATAAGGAGGTACCGAGTTTGTCTCATTTTTATTCATTCCTTAAGAGATAAATTGTGAGATGCTTCATCTTTTCTCCATTTTTTTTTTTTTTTTTCATTTCAAAAAAAAAAAACATAGAAGAAGAGGAAGCCTGGCTATTAATTATTCACTAACGTGTATTCGAAGAAAAGAATCACTTTGAAGATTTTCTTTCTTTCTTTCCTATTCAGTTTAGCCTTCATGTTTTTCCATCTTTTTTCTTTTTTTGGTTTTTCTTCTACCTATGATCGTTAGGCAGATATCTCGATTCGGTTTTATGATAAATAGATACGTTTGAATTTTTAAAGTTATCAATTAGATCTATTTTATTAACTTTTCTTTTTTCCTTTTTTTTCAATTAACGAAAAATACAAAATTCTAATCGAAAATAAATGGATATTTTTCAATTATTTGAATTGAATAAATTTCTTCTTTTAATTATTCAACTTTATTCGACTATTTAGAGATAAGTTTTTTCAAAAATAAAATTTTTTTATAGTATAAAGATTTGACTATTATTCTGTCGATAATTAACTAATTTTGTTTTAGACTCTATTTATTTAACTCAAAAAAATCTATTTTAAGATAATATTCTATAGGAATGACTAATGAACAAAAATTGAGCTATTGATTCAATCTTCTTCATGCCGTTTTTATATTGCTTTTTTTTCTTTTCATGAATTAGTCAGCCATTTTTATTTTTTCTTGTTTTTGGTAAGGAGCCGAAAATTTAGCCGGTTTTTATTTTTACATTTTTGTATGCATGATTCGATAGAGTGCGTCGAGTTTTAAAAAATTATTTTAATGTTAAAAAATTGAAAATATTTGACGAATCTAAAATTTCGAAAAATCCTTCGGTTTCAATAGAAACCCAAATTTCTATATAATCTATATTTCAAAATTTTCTGTTGATTTTTATTTTTTAGTGAAAATCTGAATGGTTTTTCGACTTAAAAATCAAAAAAAAAATTAAAATGATCGGATGAGGAGAAAAAGTATGTCATTCGACTCAGTTTTTGATGCTGATTCAAAATATAATACTTGTACTGGATAAAAGGTGAGTTCTAATGGCGATAATTGAGAATCGCAAGCAAAATTCCGATTTTCTCACTTCTGATCTTGAAAAAAAAAATGAATTTTCTCAGTGACAAAGTAGAATGGAAAAAAACAAAGCGTTTTATATTCTTAAAATTCGTTTAATTACGGTTCAAATACTCAGTTTTTAATGCTGAATCTTTAAAAAAATACTTTCAGAATGTCTGAAGAACGACAACGTAAAAAATTTGGATTTCTTTTGAAATCGAAGGATGTTTTTTGAAAAATTTAGATCCTTCAAGTATTTTCAATTTTTTAACATGAAAATAATTTTTAAAATATTAAAATACATATTTTCTGAATCATCTTGACGCACTCTATCGAATTATGTATACAAAAATAAAAACTGGTTGAATTTTCGAATTTTCTTATAAACATCACATCGTAGCTATAATATAATCATAATAAGTTCTCTGTCTTCACATAGATTATTAACAGAAATTTTATTCACCTCACTTAACTGAATCAATATAGAGAATAAAAAATTACTTCTAATTTTTTCTAAGAGATAATAACACATGCATGACATGTATAAACATATTGTGGCTTTCTTTTTTACGTAACCAATTTATATGTTTTCAAGCTAAACAAAGCGAAAGAAAATTTTGTTTTTTATCAAACAATATGAATTGATGTGAAAATCATTCAAAATCTTATTTTAATCAAAATCTCATTTTAACGAGAAAACAATGTGAACGACTGTAAATGAACATCATCTTAATCTTTTTGTTGAATGCCACTCGAGGTTAGTAGTAAATCAGTGAAGATCATTATTTTTCTTTTTTTTTGTCTTTATAGGAGGATACATATAAGAAAAAGGGGTAAGAAAATGGCTATAAAGACAAATATAGATGATTTTTTTATTATAGCACCAAGTACTTCAACTTTTCTATTTTTTTTATTTTTCAATAGGCAAATCGATGTTTTTTTCTTCGTCTATTTTTCATTTTAATATGAAATAACACACACAACGTATACCCATCATGTTTTGAACGAAAGAAAATGGAACAAATGAAAAAAAAAAATTCTTTTCTTTTTCCATCAATGATAATACTCAAAATGAAGTCTAATACTCGGAAATCTCATTCAAGTACTTGTTAATTATCGTTGTTTAGATCAAATACAGGTGTACAATCGGTATTTTGGAGAAAAAAAAAAGTACTAAAGACAAAAAAATTAATGCTGTCAATTGTAAAAAGAAAAACAAGATAAATTTTAAACGACATAATATACAAAATTTAAACTTACTCTTTCTAAGTTATTTTTTCTATTCATAGACGTATTAATCGATTCTTTTGAAGAAAGAGAATAGAGAAATTAAAATCGGTTTCCAAACAGCTTTCGATAAACGAAAGATTCCCCAAACTAATTCTATAGTTTTTCGAAAATACTTTATTTTTTTTTTTCTAGGAAATAATTGATCAAGATTAAACGAACTGTATGGAGATCATTTGTTTCCAAAAAAAATGATCGATTTAGAAAAGATATCGGTAAAGTTTCTGGCAGAAAGTTCAGAATTTTTATGGAGAAGAAGATAGTTAAAACAGACTTTTCCATCTCTCAAAACTACTCATTATCTCACTGGTAAACTCAAATAGCGAAAAAGCAATCAATTTACAGTTGAATACATATTCGTATAACTATCCAAACCGATGATTAGTTAAATTTTAAAGTACATAAAAGAATAATTAATAATCATTTATACTGTGAAACGCCTATTCTCATATATTTTATATAACACATTTAAAAAGTATCCACTTATCTCTTAGAAAAACTGCGTCATTTCTATATTTAAAATTTTTAACGTGTATACTATACTTATGAAAAGAAAATAACAAGATAGTGTTCTATTAGTAGAAAGCATAAGTATCAAGAAATAACTGTCAAAGTTGCTATTCAAACAAGATGCTTTTTTTCAAATTTCTTTCTTTTGTTTATCATAGACTAGTATTTAAATTCTATTCATATTGTTTGATGTCACATCAAAGAAAACATAGTACTCATTGTCTTATTTTGTTTCATCCTTTTTATTAATTTCTAAGAATAGTCTGATAAACATTAGGATTTGAAAAAAATATTCTGTTTTTTTGGTGAAATTTTATCTAGTTATTCTCAGAAATGTGTTACAAACAGTGGAATTTATCTACAAATGAGTGATAACAACAAAAATTGAATTTTCTGCTTTCAGAAATTAGATTCTACATAAAATAACCGCTTTCAACAATATCAACAAATAATAGATGGGGCAAAAGTATAGAAAACATAGAAGGTAAAAATTCCAATTATTTTATTAGTTGTAGCAGTGACATTTTTTTAACTGTATGCTTTAATTTTGTATTTCGGATGGTTCATTCTCAGTTTGCAAGTTTAATTGACTTTTTATACATTTTCGTATTTCCCATTTTGTAAGCCAAAATATGAACGAAAAAATCTCCCATTTTGCAAGCCAATTAATTTAGAAAAAAATATAAATTGTTTCATTATATAAGTAATTAGATGTTGTTAATAAAAGAAAGATAATTAATCAAAAGGAAAAAAACACAATTAAGACATGATATTGAAAAAAAGGCTGGTAATAAAAGAACGATGATCCAGCTGTCTATTTCAAACCGTTCTTTTTTCCACCAACCTCGAAAATATACTTGTATGCTACGCGTCTTACATGATAAAGATAATCTTCAAACTCTATTTCACCAGTAGTTAATGTCACGACAGTGAGCATAATCTTCTTCTTTACAAATTTGCTCGATCCACCGATGAATGGTTGGATGAGCCGGAACACATCTACCAAGGAAGACAGAACTTATAAATAACAAGTAATTGAAGAAGTACGGGTATCACAGTATTGTAGCGTCTCCATTTTATAGGTTCTGATAAACAACCTGTTGTTTAGACGTTTGAATCCGAAACATTGAATTTAATCATTAGCCTTCTTCTAAAAACTTGACAACATTCTCATTCTAAGAACACATCAAACCGGTTTACTCTCAATTCGTCCCAAATTGTTCACTCAATTAGCTTGCAAACTGGGAAGCGACCATTTCGGATAGTCCTCACAAATTTATTTAAAAAAAATGTATAAAATGCCTTGTACTTGTATGAGCTTGACTGAATTAAGAAAAATCATACACACCTTCTAATCGAAGTTGCAAGTTGTAGAAAAGAAAAAACATTTGTATTTTTTTATTTTTTTTTATTCTTGACTTGACTAATTGAGAATAAACGTTGAAATCTTAATTCTTTTTGTATAGATCGACAAATTGAAAATCTCGTTTACTCTAGAAAATTAAACATTTTTGTTAAAATCCTTATTAAATTTATAAAATACAAAAGGTAAAAAGAAAATATGATAAAAATAGGGCAATTGGGTTTATGTACTTACTAAATAAAGAAATGTTAATAATAAATGTACCATTTGGTTTTTACATATCAAAAGTATCTGAATGAATAGATTAATGACACTAATTAACATTGAAACTGACTTTCATAGTAATTATACACTTGAGAAATAAGAAAGAGATAAATTGGTTAAATGATGTTGCCATTTGTTAAAATAAGTGCCATATTACGATAAATAGAAGAGAATATTTATCGACGATGACGATCACAAGAATAATTACAATAGTAGTATGTTTTTTTTTGATTACTTTTATTTTTGTTCTTTGATCATACTATTGAATGAAAAAGAACAAAAAAGGAAGAAATATATAGAAGTGCTGGTGACAAGTCACGATAGATAGACGAATAAATGAGAAAATAGAAATAATCATTTGAGAAAATCTTGACCAGTTATTTTATAGGAAAGATAGTTTTTAATAAAAGTCTTTAGAAAAATGAAAAATGAAATTTGAATATGCACACATAGGATGGGTATCCTCTCGTTTCGTTCCATATTTTTTAATTAGTTCTCGTTTTGTCCCGTTTAGTTTCTATCATTCGACTCATTTTATAACTATTCATTTTTTTCTATCAACTGTGTACTAATTAATATTAATATAATTAAGATAATGTAAAAAACTGATACATGGGATATTGATACGTATCAATATGGACTAGTTCGTCTTTCTAAACCTGGATTGATAACAATTTAATTTTAACGAAGTCATTTTGTATACTCCATGATAGAGTTTAACTGTTTAACAGAAAAGCTTTTGCAAAGAAACAATACTCATGAATGAAACAATGGCATAGATCTGACGATTTGACCGTTACATTGTTTCATCGACTATAAATTGAACTATCCTATGCCTACATGGAATCTTTCACACAAACAGTGAAACGGAAGAAAGTCTACAATAATTGTGATAATAAATTGAAGGAATATTTTAAAAGATACAAAAATGGTACTTTGTCTGGAACTGAACTTGCAATTAAATGTGAAAAATGTATTAATACTGTAAAATTATCTGTTTCATTGTAACTCGTCAACAAAATAATAAATGTAACTTATAAAGCCATGCATCAATTTCTTACATTATCTTAATTAATTATATTAATATTAATTAGGACACAGGTGATAGAAAAAAAATGAATAGTTATAAAATGAGTCGAATGATAGAAAATAAACGGGACGAAACGAGAGTAATCAATCCATAGGAAGAGTGTTGAAAATATAAAATAAATATATGTGTTGTTTTAAAGAATAGTAGAAAAAGACAACTGATGCTCATTTTTCCACAAAAGAAGGTTAAAATCAATCAGTTAGTTTAACAAAAAAAAATATTCGTCAAAAATAAAAATTAACAATCGACACACTACACTCCATATCTAAATTTTTACTGTTGCTTTCTTTTAACAATGTTGTTATTGAACAAGATAAACATTAAATTAATTTAGATACACAAACGTTTCCGTTCAAAAATCTTACCATCATCATCATCTTTACAGAAGAAGAAGAAAAATAATGAGGAAAAAGTTAATTTAGAAACAGAAATGTTTTTTTGCTAATTAACATTTAAATATCGACGAGTGACTTTTTTTATTGGCAATTCGAAGTATGATCTAAATGTTTATTGATCTGTCATCAGTAAAATCCATTAGCCAAAATTTACACAAAATACACCATATTACAACTAACTTCTCTCATTTCAACAAAAAAACCATAATGACATTTTTCATTAGCTTCAAATGATCAGATCATCAGATGAATAACTTCTTTTTTTTCTTCTTCTCATACAGTATCTTCTTCAAATGTGTAAAATTGCTTTTGTGCAAATGAAAGTTCAATATTCTCCATCGATGACAAATATCTCAATACAAAAGAAAAAAACAAAGAATATACACATCAAGGCATACATTTATATGATCAAGGCTAAAAACACGATTATTAAACCATAAAAGAATTTTTACATAAACTTAACCTTGGAAATAATTATAAATAAAATATAGATTGTTGAAATACATACTTCTCGAACTTATCGATTTTGAATCATTTTAGACTCTAGAATCATTAGTCATCTCATCTATTAATTAATTAATTAATTAATTTTATACCTAGTTACAGTCTACTATAACCATGGCTTTTCAATCATTAGAAATGCTTCTCGTTTTCATAGAGTACCAATGACTTAATATAGACATTTGGTTTCTAACAATTAACAATTATACAATTAAAAGTTAATAGAAAGATATTCTTGTATTGACAGTTAGAAAATAGGAAAAATATTCAGTGCAGTCCATGTGTCTTACAGATTATAACTATAATATAGATTGTATCTTTTGTTCTGAGAAAAGGAGAAGTCTGTCAAAAAACACTTCTGGCTGAGGTAGTATGAAATTTTATTGTGTCTACAATAGTCAAAAGATTCTTTTTACACGTTTTCAATTAAGGAAAGATTTTGTTTTTTCAATTACTGTGCATAATCTCTGCTTGATCTTGTCTGTCGAGACCACATTTGAAACCATTGTAAGCGCGCTGAAAAATTTTTCAAGTTCTAACAACTTCTATATTTATATAATTGCTTTATTTAAGTTTCTAGACAGCTCGCCTTTAATATGTGACAGCTCTGGCATTTAACTTTATAGACGTGTTACAGATATTGAGACAATCTAGGTAGCGATGAACCTTGAATTATAGAATAAAGTCTTATAGCATATCCAAAAAAAGTGTGTTTCCTCTTTTGCCATTCAGTTGTGTTCTTTGAGAGGCGTCCTGTAGGTCAGTGCGGGACGAAGCGCTCCTCTTAATGCATCAAAAAGTACATTTTGACTAATTTGTGTTAAATATAAGATTCGAACGCCTCTGGGGTAATGATTAGTGTTTTGTTAAGAAACATTGGGCAGAATGAACGTGCTCGTTCGTGAACCGACTTGAATTTTTTGGATCATCGTTTGACGCGTCAATCCATAAATGAATCTAACAACTTCTCTCTATTATTTATCAAGTGGATATTTTAAATTGTAAACTGAAAGCGCGAAACGTCTAGCTTGATTTTTTTGCTTTTTTGTCTAATTTGTTGAGCGTTTATTCATTATTTTCTTCGACAATAACGTTATGAATTCTTGTCATGCGCCTTGTGCTCCGGTTTTTTGTTATTCAGCACTGAACAATCAACAATGCTACAATGCATGTCACAGTCCTCAACGTACTGCTATTGAGCCAATATTTCAAATATACATAAAATTACCGAATTATAAATATTGGACTTGCAATAGTGATAAGTGCAATTCTTGTTTAACAGATTATTTTGAAACAGCTTTGCACCGTGGGTACAGCCAAATAAATCAAACGTCGAAAGAGACAATTAAAATTGGGAAACCCAATGCCATTATAGTAAATCCAAATGTAACGATTACAGACGAACAAATGAGAATGATGCAAGACGAAGCTTTAAATAAATTCAGAGATAAAAATGAAATACGAAAACGTATGGCTCTATTGCAAACCAACGAAGGGGTGTATATAATTGGCGGATACAATATAAATCCAGAAACGAGTACTAGAGAAATACCAAAAAATGACTATTTTTATGATGCTGAATCAACAAAATTAATACCAATTTTACCCAGTAATAAGATTTTATGATTCTCATCGATATTTTGATTTCTCTTTTTTTTTTTAGCTCCTGGAGATGGTCGAATGGGTTTTGGACTCGCCACAGACGGTAAGATACTTCAGTGTATGGTCATCAATAGTAACTATATGATTTAAACTTGATAGGTGAAAAAATTGTTGTGGTTGGCGGTCATAATCTTCACAATGACGTTTTAAGTACCGTTTGCATGTATGATACAAAAGTAGAGAACTCACAATGGGAAAGTCTTCCTGATATGCCAGGACCAACGTAAGTAAAGACCATATAACAAAAGGGGTTGGTTACTTATTTTGTAATTTATTTTAGATCAGGATCGGGAGTGTCCGTAATTGATAATATTTTGTATGTATTATCAGAGTAATTATCTTAGAAAGAAAAAATAGTGCTTAGCTCTTCTGTATGTTTTAGATATGCCCTTGGGGGGTTTGAATTTATTGGACAAGAAACAGTGATTCATGGTGACGTTCTTTACATGAATTTGGACGAACGAAAATGGCATCGTTTACCTGATTTAAATCCTCCGCGAGCGCACGTCCTCGTCACTGTGATGGATGAGAACGATACTCCGTGGTTAGTTGCAGCTGGTGGTTATCAATTTAACAAGCGATCATCAAAACCTATTCCCTATGCGAAAATGGAAAAATACAATGAGGCTAAAAGAAAATGGGAACACATTACAGACATACCTGGATTTCAAATTCATAGGGGTCTGTTCACAAATGATGAAATATTTATTTAGTTTTTGCGGTTCGACTAAGTAATAGTTCTTATTGTAGGATTGACAATGAAAGACAATAAATTTTTCTTAACTGAACTGCATACGGATGAGCAAACTGGCGTAACAGACAATACTATCATTGAAGAATTTGATTTTGAAACAAAAAAATGGAAAAAACCAAAACCAGAAAGTAATTTGATGGAAACAACGGCTAGATCCAAGGACAACAGAAAACAACAGAAACAAACACCTCAAAAAGCATCCAGATTCGACGAAACTATGGCGACGGCGACATCTAAAGAAACGTCAGACAGAGAACATTCAAGACTTTATGACCACTATTCAGAAACGGATGGAGTTTCGAACACATTCGACTCGAGACTAACATCGAATAAAGCATTATCTCGTTAAATTTTACTGTTTTGACTACTACTGAAAGTTGTTCCTTACATGAAATGTATGAAAAATAGCCGTTATTTAAGGTAAAGCAACTATTTCAATTAAAAATAAGCTTCTTTAGCGTATCTCAGAGCTAGCGTTCTGATCAGAGCTGTGATTGACGAGTAGTAACCAGAAGACCATATCAGAAGCTTGTCCAGTACAAGGTGAGTAGAAAAAAAATACTATTGGCATTCTCATTATAGAGAAAACTTTCAAAGTTGGTTTTTCATTCATTTTATCATATCCAGGAATATCATAAAGTGTTTTGGCCTCCTCCTCCATCTCCTTGAAGGCTCTGACAAATCGATAGACCGACGAAGGCTGAACGATTTCTTGTTGAACATCAGATTTTTTCGTTCATTATTATGCATGATTAATCCTTTTCGTAGTCTAGCTTTACAAAAATACATGATAACAAAGTAGAAGCAGCTGTAACAATCGGCAAAAGGTTCAATATAAGCTGAAGTAGCAACAAATTCGAAAATAAGTAAATAAAAAAACTAACATCAATTTTGCCTATAGTTAAAACTAACAGATCTCTCCCTCTCACTCAAGTAAACAAAACAGAAAACAGCACTCTATAAGTTTGCAGCAGCTAGCAACAAACGTGGACCAAGGTCTTCCAGACTATCAGCGAAATCTTAAAAGAGGGTTATCAGATACAGAGAATGTTTTTCAACAGCAAATAGTCTTGATAACAAAACACAAAAAGGAATTTCTGGTAGCATTCGCTGTAGTAAAGGATATCTTGAATATTTCCTATATTCAACCTGCGAACAATATTATCAAGTCTAAACTGCCAAACTCTAAAATTGAAAACATCGTGCATAATATTAAATAAAATTTATTATATCCAAAATCTGGCTATCCGTCTCCAAGAATCTGTAGATGAATTTGTCCGGTGGTACATACTGTGGAAATTACAGATACAAGGCACACAGATGAAGCTCATTCATTTCACAAAACATTCTAAAAGAAAACTGAGGACGCCACTGACAATCAGAATAAGCGGGCAACAAATACCATTGAAAGAGGAAGTCAAATAATTGGGTATCACTTTCAATCGATCATTAAAGTTTAGAAGACACGTAGAAAATATGCGAAAGAAAATCGCTACGAAGATCAACTTACTACGGTAACATCGACGAAAATGTGCAGACATCTCTGTTAATGCTTTATAGAAGTTTGGTTCGCTCAGTTATCTCTTATGCGTCATCGATATTTTTAAAAAAACACAAACTATTCGGAACAGTTTCAAATAATCTAAAACAAGAGTCTAAGACTAGTCCTGAAAGTGCTACATTACTCATTAGCTACATACATACATCAAATACTTAGACACAAGTCTATTTACGAATACTGCAGACAACAATCTTTGAAGTATCTAAACAAATCCATCATACAAGGAAATACCAGAATAATGAATATATGCAGAAACGGTGCTACTAAGAAACGAGATAGATCTTAACAAGTTGCTCTCCTTTCGACGAAAATAATTCATAATAATTCACTGAACAATTTATTTGAAAATAATCTTTCGGTCAAAAGACTCATGTCCCCTGTATGTAGTTTATTTTTATTAATAACCCGTACACGAAAATCAATAGGAAAAACCGGCCGAAATTACGGGTCACACCGCTTCATTTTCAAGCAGAAAAATCGGTCAAAACCGACGGTTTGCGACACAATAATCTATCTTTCGTATAAAAACCGCGGGTGTGTTTTTGATATTAAATCTGCATCATTGGGGTATAGCAGCAGCTCATGGCCGCTATATTTTGGTGAAAACCGCAGAGATCTGCGTGTTTGCTAAATTGGCTAGAATCGCCCTTTCCAATTTAGCCGCAAGCGGTTACTGTTTGTATAACACAGCGGTTCACAGAGATTGGAAAAAAAGATATCCGCTTAGATCGGCGGTTATTTTAGAAAGGGAGCGATTCATCCATTTCCTTTTAAGGGAAGGGTCCAAAGTCATTTATGCATTGCTTGATAGCCAATAGTCTGTTGTTATGGTCTGATAAAAATAGTTTTCTTAAGACAATAATTTATAATTAATCAATGCTAATAAATACTAATTAATACCACTCTGGTGCGTTAAACTTTTATTTGCAAATTAACTATTTATTGGAAACGGTAAAGTAATACGTTATTCGACAAAGATTTCCAAACGCTATAAATCCCTGTATTTGCCTTTCAAAATGTTACCGATAAGCAGTTATTTGTACTCGGTTTTAGGCAAACGGGGTTTCTACGATGAATTTCTGAACAGAGCGGCCATGGATGTTTTTTCAATAATTCGAGAACGAAAAGAGATACAGAGTTCGAGTTTTCAGCATTTTGTAGAGAAGGCTTTACTCTATCGTCATATGTGTTTAGTGCTAAAAATCTCGGTTTTTCAAGTGGTGTACCTGACGGATGAAAAGCGATGAGGTTATCAGATTCTGAACCTGCCATGGACTTTTAATTGTAACATGGTGACTAAATAGCCCAAAGTGTTTTCTACAATTCTGCGCAAGCTCGATATCTCTATCTGTTATGATTCTCGATTGGCAGGCATTTTCCGGAATCACCCGTAATTCGTTCCCATTTCTGTTGAGGAAATGCCTGCCATTCCAGAACCACAATAGATAGAGAATTCAGCCTTGTGCAGAATTGTAGAGAACATGTTCCTATCCTTCAATCAATCGTCCTTTTCAAACCGACATAATTTGATAAAGTGTGAGGAGTCATTCCTTAACTGCCGTGTGAAACTCTCGCCAAAGATCCTGCAATAACGACGCATGATAGAGTAAAACTCTTACTACAAAAATTTTGCACAATTGCCGCAAAAGGGTGACAATTGGGGGTAACGTTGTCTGTTTTTCAGAGTTAATGGGAAAATTATGAAAAAAACTTCCATTTAAATTTTTCTGAGTTTTAAATTTTAGAAGAATTTAAATCTAAAACATACCGAAAAAATTTTGTAAATCAGACAACGTTACCATACTAACATATAAATAAACAGAGGAGGAGTGATGGAACCCCCTTAAAACGGATCCGCGGTTCTCGCTGATCATATTTTTTCGAAAATTTTGGGCTAGGACCGCCTGTCAAGATGTTTTTCTCTCGTAAAGCTTGCTTTAAGCTAAGGAGCACAAGTACGCTCAAAGCCGGCGAAAACCGTGTAAAACGTTCTTTTTTTGTCTCTCTCTATTTTGAGAGAGACCTGACTGTTCACAATGCCTTTTTTAAAAAGTGAGCGTTACTGATTTGCAGAGAACCATTTTCTCTGATTCATTACTTTGACTTCACAGAAATTATAAAAGTTCAAAATTATATGTCAGAGATGGGCGAGTACGAGTATTTACTCGTACTCGTACTCGCGACTTATTTTAAGGAGTACTCGATCGAAAGCCTTTGTAATCTACTATGGATTCCCGAGAAAAACAGTAGGTTCTATTCTAGAATTGTAGTGTAATCCTGTAAGAAAAATGCATGATGTAATCAATATGAAAGTCACGAGACTGTTGGACGGAGTAAACGAACTATTTGTCTTTACAGAAGGAAAAACAAACTTAACTTTTACTTCATATATACTTCATACATTTTTTCTCTTTATAAAAACTTGTACTCGAGTACATACTTGAGTAAAATTTTCGCGTATTCGTAATCATACTGGTACTTGCCACGAAATACTCGTACTCGAAAAAGTGTGTACTTGCCCATCTCTGTTATATGACAACTGCACAAAACTTTACATAACTAATGGTGTCACAAAACAAACTGGTGAATGAATTGTTGTCACCCAATCGCATTGGCCTGTGGTTATTTCTTCAAGAAAAAAACCATTCGCCGATATCCGCCGTTTCCGAAGTTGTTTCAGTAGCAACCGCAGTGACCGTATATGCCTTATGGACAACGGCAGTCATGACCAGCGAGAACTGCTTGTGCTAATTTTACAAAAAAATGAGCGAAAAATTGACAAACCTTCGAGACCCGCGGTTTTTCAGTGAATAACCGGTTAAAATCTTCGGTTTATTGGTGTTCCACTGGCGAGAAAAGGTATGATATCCGGATGGACCAGCATTAACCGTGTATAAAATAAAATCACACGCGGTTACCCGTGCGGTTTAGTGGGTATACATTAGAGCCAGTTTAAGCTACTCCTATTCCAATAGAAGGTTACGGTATTCGGCCAAATCAACATGGTACACAGAAAACAAAATTTTGAGACAATCTTTTAGATTCCAAAATTTTTATAGAGCTAGAAAATCAAAAAATTACTAAGATTTCTTAGAAAAATCTGATGTTTCAATGATTGTTTTATAGATAGAGATACACACAAAACTCAAGATCCCGAATGTTTTGAATTATATGACTTTGATCGGGCTCATAAATTTCGAAATCGAGTGGTTCTAATTGATAATTGCGGTTCAGAGAAAGTTGGATCTTTCGTCTGCTGGTGCATAATTACAAGATCTAAAGACGAAACAAGAGGCAGATTTTACCAATCGAAATATCTGTTTTGCATTTACGTGAACTCTTCTTCAAGAAAAGTTTTGGATGCAATTCGAATGAAAAAGAAATTGTGAGTCAAACAATTGAAACAATTTTTCTGTTGAATTAAGATTCAAATTCAATTAGACCATGATCCATCGACTCTCACTCATAATTGCGCCACTAAATTTATCCAATACCAATTGCCTTATATATGACTTTGTTTTGTAGAATCAAAACGGTAAAAACCATCAGTTGAAAATACTGATACGTTTCTATAAGTTAAAGATTACTGCTGAATTAGAATCGTAAGTTTATATGTCTTTTGACTTATTTTCCAAGAATCATTACGTCTCATCTTTTCAGGACACTAATGAGTATGAATTAATATTTGTTCTAGGTTTTAAGTTTGTTATAAGTTGTTTTTCACATAAAAAAAACGCATCGATAATAAAAAACAATAAATTTTTTTCAAAAAAACATAGACCTGATGGTGCAAAGAAGGTCCTTGTTTTTAACTATCATTCGATATATAAATAAAACATTTGATCATCTCTTTCTATTTTTAGTTTATTGATAAAAAGAGTATTTCTTCTTTTTACCTTCCATCTGTTACGTTGATAAACAATAAATAATTCTTTTTATTGAGAAATCATACTCAAAAGACTTATTTGTTTTACTTTGACATATTTAAATAAGATTAACTTATTAACGTAATTAACTTATTATCCAATATCTCTAATATACGTCATGTTTGATGAATTTATAAAACATAGATATGAAGAAATAATAAAACAATGAAGAAAAAAAAAGAATACATTATTATTGTATACAATTCGAGAAGAAAAACAAAGTATAAAAAGAAAACAAAATTGAAAATAATTAGATGTAAAATAATCGACTAGTTTGTTATATATTTTCTCTTCTTATTTTTCTTCGGAAGACAAATATATGTCCACTTTTTATTCTTAATCTGAATATGTGTCTTGAAAAAAAAAGAGTGCAAATATATGTTTGTCATATTCATTATATTTCGTTTATTGGCAAAAAAGAATACAATCGCTTGCTTTCTAAGAGAGATTTTTAAATAGACATTAAGAGGAGAAATATATTTTTATTCTCTACTCTTTTTTTTCTACTAGAATGTAACAGTTTATTTTTGATCCAAATTCTTGTTTGTTTGATTTATTTTTATTACATAATATAGAATCCAAATGGAGAACGAATAAAAAAAAAGAAAAGAAAAACAGAAGAAAAAAAAACATTATCCATCAACAATTTATCAAGAAAAAGTGCATTTTGAATATAAGTGATGTATCGTTGGTTATTTATATGTTCACAGTATAAATTAACCTAAAAGTGGAATGAGATAAGTTAATCATTATTATGTAGAGATCAAAAGTGATAATGTTAAAAAATATATCTTTCTAGTTTTTTCTAACAAATTTTTTAAACTTACATACAATGCAAAATTTTTCTTTTTAAATGATAGTTCTCATTTAGAAATATATACGATGAGTTTAAAAACGAATTTTATCCATTTGGATATTTTCAACATTTTAATTCTCTTCTTCGTTTACATCATATCAATTCTAAAAAAATCTCATGGACATGGAAGAAAACGAAAAAAAAGAAAAAGTTAAAATTCAAATTTGTAAATATTTGTTGTAATAGAGAGTGACGAAAGAACAATAAATATAAGTGATAGAAGAGGGCTGTCAAGCTAGGTATCAATCTTATTCAAGGTGTGCAAGTTAAAGAGTATTTTGACCATGTACCACGAATAATTGTATACTTTGAATTTAGTTTAAAAAGAATAATTAATGATCAAATTATGTATACAAATGGTGAAATAGACCATTAAATTTTTTATTCATTCTTATTATTTAATGACGTTCGCATTCTTATGACTCAATATTAAAGATTTTATCATTTATATTTTCTTTCTGTTTCTGAATATAGCAAGAACGAATGTAAATTTTTCATCTCGAGTCTTTTTTTTTCATAGTAAATTTTTTTCGTAGTAATTTAGAATATGCGATAAGACTTGTTTACGGATTTGAGATTTTATTATTGGATAGATGTGAATTATTTACTACCGTATTGAATAAGAATTAACTCCACAAGATCTCCTCTAATTCTCTCTCATCACTAATAAGATCTTAAATTATTTTTAACAAATTTTTCATTTTTTGTTTCAGATTTAACATTTAAAAAATGGGTTCTAAATTGAGTAAAAAACAGCCTACTGGTGAAAGATTAAGTGCACAAGATATTGCCGAATTATGTGAAGAAACACGCTTTACAGAACAAGAACTTCATATGTGGCATGCGTAAGTACAGTGTTTGAATCCATTTCTTGAGTATATTATATTTTCTTTTATTTCCATTATTTTTAGTAATTTTCTAAAAGATTGTCCCAACGGTCGATTGACACTCAAACATTTTGAACATGAATATAAGAAAATTATAGGCAAACTAACACCGAAAACTCTCGAATATGTTCGTCATATGTTCAAAGTTTATGATCAAGATAAAAATCAATATATTGATTTTCGGTAAGATAAAAGTTTTTCTAATCATTTGAATATTATTGTCATTGATTTTATATATTTTAGAGAATTTGTTATAGCATTGTCGGCAGCATCTATCGTTAATCGTCTAAGATTAATTGAAACATTGTTTTCCGTATTTGATCTTGATGAAGATGGTAAATCTTTTAGTTTAAAATGAGATTCAAATCTCTATTATAAAATTATTCTATTGTTTAGGAAAAATAACAAAAGAGGAGATTGGAAAAATGTTGAATACACTTTTAGATGTAACAATGAAAGCAGATAAACGCCATCATTATCAAGAATCACAAAAACTAAAAGCCAATTTACAACAGAGGATTGACGATGCATTCAATGAATTAAATACAAATGATGATGATCACATTACAAAAGACGAATTTATGTAAATATATACTCATCTATTAAATTTAGTAAACAAGTTTTTATTATATTTATTTTTTATTTCTATCTAGAGACTGGTATATGAGAAGTGGTTTATTAGACGAACAAAGTCACAATATAACAAATGTTGTTGATTCTAAAGCATTTCGTGTAGGTAAAAAACCACGTAGGACAAACAGAAAATCTTTACATAACGATAATATTACTACTAACATGAATAAAAATTCGTCGATGTCACCAAGGAAGACTGTTCATCTTTCTCATATGATCGAACATCGTGAGGAAGATGCCAATAAATTTGAACTGGAAACGGTTGACAAAACGGCTAATAGAACGAATGGACATAATGGAATCGATGATTCAGATAATGATGATATTGAAGACGCATCCTTATCTGTAGACAACGATGATCGATGGCAAAATTTACTCCATACAGTACTAGATCAAATACGTTCTCGAAAAGATCAACAACAACAACAACAACAACAACAACAACAACAACAACAACTGCAACAACCAAAAGATAGCAACTTTAGTAACTGGAAACGAATCGTTGCAGAAAACTTGAAACTTGAACATTCAAAACAAATATCAAATAAAAAAGAGGGAGAGCATCATCCCTTCTCTCATTATTCAAACGAAAATAAGTCAAAACAAAAATCAATCGACGATGTCAATACACAAGAATCAAATAACACACCTAAATGGACGGAAGTAGATATTAAACAAACAAATTTCACTGAACCACCGTCGCCCGATTTTTACACCGTACGATTGTAATCTGTGATAGATAATTTTGCAGCTCTGTTCCATTTTGGACATGTCAAATTATCTTCCATCATTTGTATATTTGTTATTTCAACAAAACTATGTTGAACAAAATTCTTTCAAGTGAATTTCATTCACTCTCAATAATTTGAGAATTTTCTCGATCAGGTATGTCTATGACAGAATGATTAGTGATAAATAGTCAGTGCTTTCTTTTTTTAACAATTTTTCTCTTAACGCTGTCATACAAAGCGTGCTATATATTAATTTTTTCTTATTTTAAAAAACAAAATGCATTTACTGGGACATTTCAAACATTTACGTAACATTCTACACTAAGGTAAAGATATATTACATTTATTCAAGCCCAACTATTTCTCATACAACTTGATTTTTTTGATTTCAAACAAAGATCGTCGAAAGATAGCCTTACAAAATATCAACATGGACTGTTTTTTTCTATAATATAGAAGATATGGAAAAGAAGAAAAATTTCGAAATTTATAACGTATATGAAAAACGACCAAGATATCTTATCTAAGCAATAATCACAAAGATATTTCACTTGAAGATGTATAATGGAACCTCATTACACAGTTTATCCGACTATCAAACAACTAAAATCAATAGGCGATCTAGTCTGTAATTAAATCTCGTATAGAAATGATTTTTGTTTTTGGTCATGATAAGACTCTTCTGCTTTAAATTAATTATCATTTATTTGAGATTTGACTCCATATGAGACTAACAGACAAAAGAAAACAAAAATAACAGCTAAATACAAGAAAAATTTCAACACAAGGAGAGAGAGAAAAAGAAAATATCAGATTATGAACGATAAAATATATATATCAGCAAACAAGTTGCATTCATTTAAAAATAATATAAAACACAAATAATTTAGAAAGAAAAAGACAATTTGTTCATTTGCGACCGAGTAAACATATAGATATTTGATGAATAAAAAAATAAAAGCTTCACTTAAGAGGGAACCGTTTCAGGTGTCAATCTCCGATTTCAATAATCTTTTGCCCATGGATGCTATATAGTGGTCTAGCAAAAATCCTAAAAGCATTTGGGTCCCTATTGTGTCATTCAGAAGTTATAAATTTTTCAATATTTCATGTAATGCACTGTATCGACAAAACAGAAAAATGCAGAACTTTTGAATGAAGCGCTAGGGGGCGCAAATCCTTAAGTTTTTGTTAAGCCTTTATATACGATCTATGGGGGAAAAAATCCTTAAAATCGAAGGTTGACATCTGAAAAGATTCTCTCTTTAGCATAAAAATACAAAAATAGTAAGGATATCATTCCTACAGACATGCACACAGAAGAACAGATCAAAAGCGAAATACAAATCATATTTACATGAATGATGCAATGCAGTCCATGCTTGTGTGGCAAACGTATTTACTTTTTAGACTAAATTATCCAAAAGTAAACGTGCTGCTGTTTGTCAACTCTGAAACTAAAATGGAAAATTGGGAATGTTCAAAAAATGGATCAAATTGAAAGACAACTGAACACCCTCAGTGCGCTACCACCAGTAAAATTATTGCGAATTTTTTTCATTAGTTATTGGTATTGACGAAGGCGAGGAAGACGTTTCATTTTCACTCTGGTGTGCCATTGAGTCTGACTGTTCTCGATGCATATTTGCCTGTTGTTGAAGATCATGTTGATCGATGGTCGAGGTATTTTGTATTTGCATATGATAGCGATGAACGGGTTCGGTACTTTCAAGTGCCCCCGATTTTAAATCAAATGAAAGACCTTTTATCGTTGGTGAGATTGATGGTGACCACCAACTTAAAAGATTGGAAACTATCGGTAGTTGACGTAAGATGCCTTCTTGGGATAACAATTGTTGATTTTCATTTTGTAGACCCTTTTCGGCTTGTCGAATACCTTCTCGTACTTTCTCAGCCATTACCTAAAGAAGTATCCATCGTAAGAAAAATACATGAGATGAAAATGTCTACAATTCAGTGAAGAAACAACCTACACTTGCCACTAGACTGGTGTTATATGGAGAACAAGGACGTCGTGATAGGAGGGGACGAGAGGTATCTTTCCTCTGATTTTGAATAATTACTTCAATTGTATGAAAAGTTTACTCTCATTTTGGACCGTTTAAGGACACCCCGTCTCCTTTTGATCCTGTTGCTAAAGATGGAAGCAAAGATCCCATTGGCTCCAAATTTATACCAGAGTTAAATACCGAAAAAGAAAATCGATGTATTTTTGCTCAGAATTTTTTGACATCTTCTTTTATGAGCTTTCATCCAGTCATATTACGATCCCTCAAGAAAATGGTTCGATTGAGTTGAAATTTTTACGACAGATACTTCAGACCCTGTCTCACATAGCTCGGACAATTGTACTAATGTTGAGAGTCTAAAACGACGAATAAATTTTGAAGTTTATATGTGTGTGTACATATATGAAGTTAGGTACTCAGGAACTCAGAAATTCATGTAGTCACATATGTGTGTATATAGACGAATTCGGAATTAAAGGACCACTAAATTACAATATAATTTTTACAAGCCTATGAGACAAAGATAGGGTCAGCAGCGAAACACTTCAGAATTCTGCGATTCTAATATTGTAGAATTTTAAAATTCTGAAATTTTAGATTTTTAATAGTTTAGAATTCTAAAATTATTCGGTACGAAAGACTCTAAAAATTCTGTTCTAAAATTCTCTGCCTGGATACTGGAGGCGAAAGTCGGGGTCAAGTGTGGAAAAAATTATCAGAATCCTGACACATTTTTAGAAATAGTAATGTGCAATGTTTCGTGCAATGTGGCAAGGTTTCGTGCGATAAATCATTTGTTGAAGTCATGATGATGATGCCGCTGAAATATGATTTTTCGTAAAGAAACTAATGGGATTTTATATGGTGCGATGCCGTCTTTTATCTAGATCATAAATAAGTTTCATTTTAGATAAAAAGGCTATTTGATCCAAATGTTACAGAGCTGCCAAATTATCAGGAATTTCATAACTCCATAATCTTGAGACGATCAGAACTCCACAATCGCCAGAATTTCAGAACCACAGACTTTCATAATCTCAGGAATTTCATAATTCCAGAATCTCAAGACAGTCAGAGCTTCACATGTTTTCGAGTTTTCAGAAACTGCGCAATTTCTGAATCTGAACACTCTAGAATTCGAGAATCTCAGAATTTCATAGGTTTTATGATTTCACAATCTCAGAAATTTACGCTGCCACGTTTCCCTGAATTCACAAACATTTAGAGATTCGGAATTTAAGAATTTCTGAATAGTTATCAATCCCGAGAAGCATGTTATTCAGCACTTCGGAGACTATCATACTCTAAGATTCTGAAAATCTGAAATTGCGAAGAATTTCATAACCTCAGCATTTCAAGCTAACCCGCCCCCAAAACTCCCCTATTAGAAGCCCCCATTGGAGAGGTCGATGTGAAAAACGTATTAGAAGCCTCTCATTTCAAAAAACTTTTGAAACTTTCATGAAGTTTTATTAGTATTTCTGAAGTAAAAACTGTCAAATTTTCAGGATTTTAAGGTAAAAACTCATTTAAATTTTACATACCGGCATGAGAATCTCG